GAGAGAGAGAGAGAGAGAATTTTAATATTTATTTTTTAGTTTTTGGCGAACACAACATCTTTGTTTGTATGCGGTGCTGAGGATTGAACCCGGGCCGCACGCATGCCAGGCGAGCATGCTACCACTTGAGCCACATCCCCAGCCCAATAGTAAGTTTCTTTTGGGCAAACATTAAGCAGCTGCATAAGAAAGATTTGTGCCTACAATAAAATGAAAATAAAAACATGCTTTGGGAAAAAACCTTCATCAGAACAGGCTAAAGATAACTAAATACAGCAAACAGTTTAATCTCTTGCTCACAGAGCACAGGTGCGAAGGAGCCTTTGCCTCGCAGGCCCCTGCACCTAGAGAAGTCCAGGAAACCACCTGGGCAAGCCAGGGATGAGAGCTGCTGGTGCTGGGGCTGTTGCAGACAGGCATCAGGGCTGGATGGCATCCAAGGTGCCACCTCCCAAGCACTGGCCTAAGAACTCTATGTCTTCATCTACCTCTTACCACAGGCCTTGGGGGTTAATGGTACTACTCTGCATCTTCAACAAAGGCACAGAGAAAATTAATCACTCACTTGCCCAAGTGACTCAAGCTAGAGAACGTGCAATGCCCATTGCCCAGAAATAAAAGAAATAAAAGGAGTGGGAGTGCCCCCTCACTGACCCCCGTCATCCCTGCAAACCCCAGCTGGGATCTGGACCCTCTGGACCACTATCCCACCCCCACCATACAGCTAGTTCTAACACTTACCTCCCATCTCCACACACCCCAGTTTCTCCTTGAAGATTAGGCATGTTTATTGCCTACCCCTGGTGGACATTCTAGACTCTTTTTTCTATGAAAGTTGAAGACTTAGGATAGAGTAAGTTTAACACTCTCTAGATGGTTCAGCAGCTTTTCGGGAGCATGATATAATTTTTTACACTATACTAATATTGTCCCAAGAGCTATGGTCCCACACTAGGTGGCCCTAGATTGTTCTATGCTTGTATTTGTGTGGAGCCATTACATTTCCACCCTCTCATGGCAATTGAGCAATTCTGCTTTGTTACTCCTAATGTGTGCTTCTAATGTTTGGCCTTACATGGGGAGCCTTGGAGGGACTTCTCAGAACAAGCCTTGGTCACAGCTGAGCCATGCTGAAGGTGCTGATTTCCACCTTGGAGTCTGCAAGACCTAGTTCATTTCTTTACACCACAGACTGGACTGAGAAATGGAAAAGTGAAAAGGTCTGAGAAGTCAGGGTTAAGAACATAGGAACTAGAGGCAAGACGACCTAGACACAGCCTCTGGGATCTCGAATGGACCAACCAGAATGGCATGAAGAGGAAACCTAGAAGAAGCCTTTCTGAGCCTCCCTTTTGGGTCTCAGGAAGAGCTCTCTGAGAATAAAGGTGCTATAACCCACGCTGGGGAACTTCCCGTCCAAAAGGAGACTGGCCCTTAGCACTGGGGTGAGAAACTGCATAAAAAACCTTTATCAGAAGCTTCTGGACCTCTGTTTAGTTTCCTCTCACATCTTCTTTAGTCTCCCTAGAAATCCTATCTATGCCTCATCCCAATTAAGCTGGTGTGTAAACCATTTCCCCCACTGTTTAGTTACTCCAGACTGAGCTTTCTTGTGTATATGTGACTAAACTTGAATTTTCTCCTGTTAATCTGTCTATGGACCTGAGTTGGTATAGGAAAGTTCTACTCCCACCAGTCTGGAGTCAAGAGATGGCATTCCAAGGCACAAGCTGTTCAAGGGAGCTATCAGTGAGCTACCCTAGAGAGAGGCAGTGCCTAGCAGTACTGTGCTAAGTGGTCCTTGGCTTTAGGGACAGAAGACACAAGTGGGGAGGAGTCAGAGATAGACAGTGACAAGCCTCCACCTGAGATTGCTATGTATGCACTGGAACCACAGCAGGAACCCACAGGCAGACACCCTGCAAGGACCTGGCACTGCCTGGTGTGTTGAGGACAGGGAGGTCCACCTGCAACACCAACCCAGGTTTTGGCTGGCTTCCTGTCTGCAAAGAAGTCAGCTCCTATGGTCACAGCCTAGTGTGGGATCTCAGACACACTTGCTCATGAATAGAGGGTTCCAGTTGGTCCTTGGTATAACTGCAACATGCTGGGGCCCTGAATCACAGAGGTGGGGTGTGGGTGTCTTCCATCATCCAGACTTTGCTGAGTACATACTTGAATCAAACTAGACGTTCAAACAATGGGTTTCACTTCTGAGAGTAAAACCATGCACTTCAATACTATTCATGAATTCCTTTCAAATTGAGAATCAAAATAAATGCCTGGCATTGAATCAGCACCTAGCATCATGTCTTGAATATAGTAATCACTCAGTTAATGCTCAAGACTGAATAAACTTAGATTACTACCCAAGAAATGCTGAAAAGTGAGATGCAGAATAAATTTAAATGAATCTGGGAAATTTTTCTCCCTGCATTTCCTGTGTAATGGAACTTGACACTACTCATCTAACTTATTTAAAAACAATGATGTAGTTGCTGCTCTAAATTGCTTATGTATTTTAAATCCACAGGCTCATTGCACAGTCTTGATGACACTTGATTTGAGCTTTATTTTTTTTAAGGATCTAAAAACCTTTTCAAGTGAAAATTTAGAGCTAAGAAAGTAGTGCCAATGGCAGTACCCCATAAGAGGAGGGGCCTGGAGAGGGCTAACACTTTACAAGGCAGGAACCTGGTCCCCAGCTCAGACCATATACCAGAGTTATCTGGGAGACTTCTACAGACAGATGCTCGGGGCCCTTGCCAGATAGAAAGATTCAGGAGGCCTGAGTCAGGTCAGGGCAGGTGTTTTTCTATATATTTCTGAAGCTGATTCCTGGTGGAGTAGTTTTCACTGAATCCCAGTGTGTGGAACCTGCTGGAGCCATACCTCTGGGACATCTGTTTGTCTATAACTATGGCTGCCCTTGGTCTGCACTATGGAAAACCACGTCCATTTGCCAACACTCCTCCTCCAGCACACATTTCTAAGAATATGATGACTGCCCTAAGACTGACATTCTGGGCTCTTAAAACAGCCTCACGGGCATAGTAACTAGGAAACAAGAGGAAACAGGAAGTTTGAAGGGGGGGTCTATTGGTATATTAATTTGTTGAATGGTATAGGCATAGATAGATCATCAATACCACAGAACTGGGTCTCATCTCTGAGTGAACAAACAGAAAAGATGTTGGGAATTTGAAGACAGAGCAACAATGGTTTTCCATTCTGAAGGAATCACATATATCTCTAAAAATACCTTGGGACAAAAATCATGTTGCTTGAAAAACTCTTGTGGCACAAAAAGATATATGGATATTAGGGGAAGAAAATCACTCACCCATAGCCAAATAAAATCCAATAATGGGGGTAAAAGTGTCCAATTTAAAGGACAAATATTACTGAACTCATCCACTCCTATCTCATAGTAATCTATTGAGCCTTAAATAGGGTTGAAAAAAGAGGAAATAAAATACTCCCCCCCTGGAAAGTAAGGTGAACTTGGCTATAAGGTGTCTCCAATGGTCCTCTATCAATTAGATTTATGTGTCCTAGAAGCATTTGCCTCACCACTGGCTGTTCTCACTTCTAAATGTTTGACAGAGTCTCCTGACAAGACCTGCACACAGCTGAAAATTGGGAGATGAATTCAAAACCCGAGCATTTGTATGGCAGGTGTGGAATGGAGGCTACTGCTCTGCTGCATGTATGAAGTGTATGAGCAAAGAAGCAGTTCTATCTATTTCCATGTTAATAAATTCCACAGATAAATAACTCAGCACTTCATATACGGGTCCCTATAATAATTTCTGCCACACAGAAAACTGAACAGAGCTGAATGACTAGGTATGCTGTCCTGTTCACAGGGATCCATCAAGTCCCTGCAGCAATAGATTGACGGATGACTACACACACACAAATATTACTTGCCAGATGGGAATTTCAGTAGTAACATGTGACTACCAAAATAATAACACTAAGAAAATAAAACAAATAATACCCAAGGAAGTCTAGACCAGGACATGAAAATGCAGACTTCTCATCAGTTTTAAATGACTGACCCTCTCCAACCTGGCCATACTTTTTTCTGGGTATGGCTAACAGCCATGACAGTTTAGTTATTCTGCAGGCACAGGTTTAAGTGCCATACTTAGGCAAGTAGGAAGACCATCAAAACACTTCACAATACAACCTGTGGGTCATGTAAAATTATGAGAACATATGTGGTCTCAGATTATCCAGAAAGAAACAACATTATCTTTTGTTTTCTTTATTCACAAGTAAAAATGAAGAAGAAAATTATGTAAGAAACCTGTCTTTGGTTAATGAGCCACAAAAGGCTTGTATATCAGCAGCTAGGCTTTTTATTTAAAGATGATTAGGCTTCCTTATATCTGTTTGTGTACTCAGAAAATGAACATAATTGGACTATGACTTTAACTATCTTTTTCCCCTTTAATTTCACTGATAACCCACAGAAGGGTATCTCAGTCTTGAGCTCCAAACTAATATTTCCTGATTCCTATTTGGCCTCTGCTTTTTCCTAACACACTTTCTACACCTTCATTCCCCAATCAAACTCTAGTTCCTACCAGTCCCTCCCTGCCTCTGTTCTCTTTTTATTTATAGCAGTTTATTCCCAATCCATCCGCAAATCCAGCTGGTTCCACATTTGAAATTCTTTTCCCGATACCCCAACTGCAGCCCTGGTCCAGGATGGTACACTCTCCTTCCAGACTTCTGGAATCCACCCCTCTTAGGTCTCCCACCTTCCCTGAAGTCTAGTGTGCAAAGGACTAGCAGACAGGACTGTAATGTAAATCCAATCATGCTCTTTCCAGCTAAAACCCTTGAAGGAAAATCCAAATCCGTCCCCTACCCTCAGGCTTACAGGCACCCCTCACCCATCCTCAGCATCTTCAGCCTTCCCACTCACTTACTGGCTGTAATAACATTGACTCTGTCCCTGTTTTCACCACACACCGAGCTCTCTGTTACACCCGGTTTTCACTCTTGCTGCTCCCTGTACCCAGAAAGTTATCTTTGATGCCTTTCCGAAAGCTCCTGTCCATCACTCATGACATACCTCCTTACAGAATTCTTTCCTGACTGCTACATTCGAAATTTCCCTCATCTTGTTACTCTGTAATCCCCTATCATATTTTATTCATATCTAAAGCAGAAAGTAAATATTGTTTGCTTGCTCGGTGTCTGTTTTCACCATCAGACCACAGTCTCCATAAAGCAGAAGAAACTTTGATGCTGATGCTCTATTGTGTTTGGAACACAGTAGGCACTCAATAAATACTGAATGAATGAGTAAATTGAATGAATAAATGAGGATGCAAATTAATTTCACAGGTTGGAAGTCGATAGAAAAGGAGAAAATGATGGTAAACCCTTGAAATACCCAATTATTTTAATACAGAATCTCAGTAACTAAATTAAATAATCACTTTAAACTTTCGTGGTATAAGAACTGAATTGTGGCACTTGTAGTCTGAAAGCAGGACTTCTTTATATTTAATTGATCCCTAGGAAGTTTTAAATACTGCACTTATTGTCCCAATAATGATCCTCTATATGTAGATAATAAATTATTATCTAGCATAAAATTCATCCTGTAGTCTTAATTAGCTTCAAATGCGACCCTTAAATCTCACCTGGTGCTTCCCACCATGCAGATGGCTGCAGTTCTTTGTGGTAAGCTCCCTCTGGAGATCTGCAGCTCAGCACTGGCATATGCAGAAACAGCTTGTGAAAACCAAAGCTCATTCAGGCGAGAAGCACATTTTTGCAGCATTAACTTTTGATTCTGTGCAGAAAAATCCTCAAGGTCATGGCTATAGTGCTGTCAAGGTCAGGCTATCCTGAGGTACTGGTCTCCAGAAGGAGCCTGTGTGCCCTGGGGCTTGACAAGGGAATGTTTGGTGTGGGGGTTCAGAGAAGCCTCTCTAGATCCTTGACTTCCCTGCACACTGTTACAACAAGACAAACCTGCTTGAGAACATGAGGCCTGCCCTCTCACAATGTACCTTTTCCCATTTCACAGAGCCGGGTCAGATCCCTCCCTGCTCTGAAAGGGCACATGTTCTGTGAGACAAAACCCAGGTACTGCACATGGCTGTGACTTAGTCACAAGGAAAAGAAAATGGCTCTGATGATGGACGATCCATCACTTTTCCCAGAAGGTGAGTTTCTAATTCATTACCTTCAACAAGTTTGAAAGGGGGCGAAATCAGGTTGTCCATTAATAGAGAATTAAAAATCACTTCTGATGATGGACCCCAATGAGATTTTTGAAATCACACATATACGAAGTTCAAAGAATCAAATGGCATTGCTATAAGGAAAGGCCTTTGCTTAGGTTTGTTAATAAGTTTCTCAGTATTCAAGTCTGTAAAACCAAAGCAAAACAAAAATAAGAACAGAATGATACTGAACCCTGTTTTTTTTTTTCAAACACTAAGTAATGTTCCTTTGGATACATAAATTGAGGGGTGAAGCTCTTTGATCTAAAAAATGTATTTCCAGTGAAATTCTACTCTTAAAAATTTTAATAATATTTGTGATACATATGATTTTTGGTCAATTTAATTCTGCTAACACCTACAGTAATAACTTAATTCATAAAAGTTTTAATTGAAAATCTGTTACCATTAGAAGTATTAAAAATTAAAATTTAACTTGCATATATTTTGCCTCAAGAGACAATGATAAATCAGAGACCTTAAAGCATAAGAGACATTAATCAGGGTAAAATTTGGAGGAATGTGGGAGAATACTATGTTCAAGGAGCAAAATAAACAATGTTGAATTTCTAACATTAATGAAGCATTTACTCACATATTATTAAAGAGGATGCCAGTGGATATAAAACCACCGTAATATTCAGATTTCTTAGACATATTTTAAAAGGATATATGTCAGTTTTATTTTAGAATACATCACAGGAATTATATTTGTGGTACACTTAAACATTTTTAAATGTGATGTAGTAAAGGAGTAGCAAATAGCTATACAACAGTCTTAGAAAGTTAGCAAGCAAAATATAAACTGTGGCTTCCAGCCTTTAATCATTCTGTCAATGATTTATAATTGTTCATGCTGTCAATAAACAGACACAGACCGCTTGCAGCCTAGATGGTCAGGCTACCCTTGGCCATCATTGGGGATCCTGGACAAGACCACAAAACCTTTCAAGGAGAATATCAGGAACAGGCACCAGACCCAGGAGAGGCCAGTGACAGAAAGAAAAAATGACTTTAGAACTTCAGGCCACTTGGTGGGGCAGGGCTTGGGATGAACAGATATGTGTCCTCCCCAAGACATTTATAGAAGGGTCTGTTCTTTTCCATCCCATTCCCCTTCCTTTCTCTAAGTTAAGATCCCATCTCCTTTCAGCCCTGTTATGGGGCTATTCTTAGGTACTTAGTTGATCCCACTTTTTACTGTGTTTAAAACAAGGAATCTCATGTGCCTTTGAATTTATAAAGAAACAAGCAGAGAGGAGAATCTAGTCACTGGATATCTGAGCAGAGACAAGGTAAAATATGTAGATAGGAAAGCCCTGGACCTGGGGACTCCAGAACAAAACAGAGACTGGTTCTTAGCAGCTGCGGGTGGGAAGTGAGTCTGAAAGGCAGGTGGAGGGGGAAGAAGAGGCAGAGGTCACCAGAGATGTGCCTCCCTCCAGGCAGTTACACCCACATCCCATCCCATTCCTTACCCCAGCCTTCTTCCTCTTGGATTCCCTAAGTCAGTTCTGGAAGTGGTCCTCTCTTCTCCTTGCTGACACAGCCAGAGCTGACCTATGGCTGTCTGATCCCTTCCCCAAGCCTAGGTCTCCCCAGCTCTGTCAGCTCCATAATCTAAAAACCACCCCACTCTGTCTTACCAAAGCCAAACAGAAATGCAGCATTCATTCCAGAAAATTCAGCATAATTCTTAAAGGAAAGTAATGAACCTAGGAAATGGCAAAATCTGGACGAGTTTCAATCACACTCTTCCTACTTAGATGGATGTGGTCTAAGGAGTGATTTGTGTTTTCTGTGTTCCTTTTGGGCAGGTCCCTGAGTTGGCTGCTTGGTTTCCCAGAGTAGCTAAGGGTCTGTCAAATTTATTTATTTTTTTCAAAGAATCAACTTTTTTGTTTTGTCAATTTTAAAAATTGTTTCTTCTGTTTCAATTTCATTGATTTCAGCTCTAATTTTAATTATTTCTTGTCTTCTTTTGTTTTTGCTGTTGATTTGTTTTTCGTTTTCTAGGGCTTTGAGTTTTGTAATGTGAACTCATTTATTTGTTGAATTTTTTTTTCTTTTAAGGAATGAACTGCATGCAATGAACTTTCCTCTTAGTACTGCCTTCATAGTGTCCCAGAGATTTCCATATGTTGTGTCTATGTTCTCATTTACCTTTAAGAATTTTTTAATCTCCTCCTTGATGTCTTCTGCAACCCATTGTTCATTCAGTAGTATACTGTCTCCAGGTGTTGGAGTAATTTTTATTTTTATTCTGTCATTGAATTCCAATTTCATTAAATTATGATCTGATAAAATGCAGGGTAGTATCTCTACTTTTTGGTATTTTGCTAAGAGTTGCTTTATGTCATATTATATGGTTTATTTTACAGAAGGATCCATGTGCTGCTGAGAAGAAAGTGTATCCACTTGATACAGGTTGAAATATTCTACATATGTCAGTTAAGTCTAAGTTATTGATTGTATTATGCACTGCAATTGTGGCTATTACTGACTCTTGTCTGCCAAATGTCTCTCCCACTCTAACACCTCCAAATCCTCCACTGTGTCCTATTCCTGCCTGGATGCCATACTGGGGGTGATGGGGTGGTCTTTGATGCCAGCTTGGAAACTGAGAAGCTCTGCACTGCCTTAAACCAAAGTGGGAAGAAGACTAAGCCCGACTCACTCTGTCTCTTCCAATTTGTGCTTAATTACTATGGAGGAAATCATGCTTAATAAGTGACACATGAGGTCACTTATCTGTTTAAGATGGGCTTTGCTGAAAATTTTACTTAATTACTGAATATTCAGTATCCATTATTACTCAGAGATTGTTACTATCCAATCCATAGTAACACTGTTACATGCTTGAAGTTTGAAATGTGGATCCCAGAGAAGCTCCTAATCTGTGATTCAAATGTTTTTAACTAATTCTAGTCCCTTACCTAATGGAAAGTAGCTGAGTAATTTCTCAATTTTCCCTCTGAAGAGTCTTTAGAAATGATACTTCTTCATTCCACAAACATCCTTGCCAATCCCCATCAGCAAATTTCTCTTTCATCTTCTACTTCTTCTCCTCTAGCCTAGGCCAATAGCAGGAATCAATAGGAAGGAACCTGATTTCAGCATTATTTTTTTTTTGGGGGGGGGGTAAGTGAGCTGTCCCAGAAGGTGACACATAATGATGGGTAATATCAGGCTCACTGCACAGTGGGATCACTTCTTGGGTGTCCTCATTGTTTGTTATTTCTTAGTTCAGTAGAAAAAAGCAAGGCCAAATATTTGACCTTCAAGGACACCAATTATCTTGTCTCCTATATTACATCTGAGGCAACCTCTTCACCAAAGCCCAGAGGTATCTGCATGCCACACCTGTGTTAGGAGATGGGAAGGGAACTAGATACTAGATGGAGATGCTTCTAAAACATCCTGTCTTAAAGACTCAAAAGCAACTCAAAACACATACTGCCTTGCCTCCATAAACCAAGAGCACAGTTCAAACTCATCCAGGCATAAGGCACAAGGTAGAAGCAAAAAGGAGAGAGGGAGAGGGGGAGGGGGGAGGAGGAGGAACAGGAGGAAAGGAGGGAGAAGAGGGGGAGGAGGGGGAGGAGGAGGAGAATAGTCGGCCACATTTTCAGGTTCCAAATCTATGAATTCAGTAACTAATTTAAAAAATGTCTTTAAAAATTGCATCTGTACTGAATATGCAAGGCTTTCTTTTTCTTGTCATTACTTGCAGTGCAATAGAGTAGAACAACTATTTACATAGCATATTAGGTATTAGAAGTAATCTAAGGAGGGTCTGAAGTGTAGAAGAGGATGTGCATGGGTTATATGAAAATACTATGCTGCTTTATACAAAGGACTTGAGCATCCATGGTTTTTGGTTTTTGAGCAGAGAGGTCTTAGAACCAGTTCCCTGTACATGTTGGGGACAACTGTTTTTCAGAATTGATAGGAAGATTTAATTCATGGAAAGTAGCTCATGGAAACGTAATGCTAATATCACAGCACTTTAGGGGAATGGTTGGAGGCAGGGTTGTATCTCGAAGTATAAATATGCATATATCTTTCCTTTCTCCCTCCCTCCCTCCCTCTATCCCTCCCTCCTTTCTTCCTTTCCACTGACACATCTTAACCACTGACATATCTCCAGCCCAGTTTAGGTTTTATTTGGAGATAGGGCCTTGCTAAATTGCTGAGGCTGTCATTGAACCCCTCATCCTTCCACCTCAGCCTCCTGAGCTGCTGGGATTACAGGCCTGTGACATGGCCCAGCTATTTTCTTCTTTGCTCATTTACTGGGACATGAAGGGCATTCTTTCAATACTCAACCACATTTAAGCAGAAACACTCAAAGAAGTCATGAAAAAAAAGTGTGAGGAGGAATATCTGGGTGTGGAGTGAAAAATGAGGGGTTCTGGTTGCAGAAACGAGCTAAGACTGGAGCTGAAGGGAAGGCACTAGCCCGGAAGGCTAACCATGCTGGTCACCTGTATGACTCCTGGGCTGGACAGCAACTTGGACGCCTCATATCTTCACCCGTGGGGGGGGGGGGCTGAAGCATTCCCCACAGCCTTCCCAGCCTGAGGTTGCCGTTGGTGGCTACTCACATTTAATGTTTTCGATGAGCTCATTAAGCCTGTACTCTTAATTAAATTGGTCTTTCAACATAAGGGGCTTCATTAAGTGGAAATATAAAGTTAGAATCCTCCTTAAACTGAAGAGGCTTGTGATATCTTCATCCAAGGGTGTGTTGTAAAACTTATACTAAAACAAGGGAGTAGTTGTCTTGAAATTCCTATTATATATACACAGCAATTTAAACTTTGTTCTAACTGTAGGTATTAATACCAATAGTGATAATTCTGGCTGAAATTGGCTACTCAATTAGAATTAATTATTCATTACATGCAGTAAGATAAGGAGGAAATTTGGATCAGAATATTCCTGGAGAAAACTTTTTTATCTTTTTACTGATAAAAGAAATGAAATGTCTCAGAGAAAAATACATGTTTTAAGCTTTCACCATTAAAAACAATTCAAAATTGGAAGAAAACAATTTTTCAGAAAATGAGCAGGCTTTTTCTATCTACAATGGTTTTTACAGACTCTAAATCAGTAATTATAAACTGAGATATTTTTGAATTCCTGAGTAGGCCTTAAGATAAGAGCTAGTGTATCTTGGTGTCCCAGGAGATGTGAGTCCAATGTACATCAAAGTTAAGAAACGTCGTCTTCAAAAAGTACGTCGAAGTACTAATTGCAAAATAAAAAATAAAAAAACCTTTGGTTTGCAAAATAAAAAAAAAAAATAGGCACCGAATTTTCTTTTTTAGAGATGTGGTGGTGGTAGTGTGTTCAAAATATGGAAGGAAGAAGGTGAAGGTAGATAGGTCTCAATTGCAAAAGAAGGTGTGCTAGATGTTATAGCTGCAATCTGATTTAAAATGATAATAAAAATCTACACATGACAAGAAAATCTTGGTTTGTGAGGCCACAATATTAAGACGTCAACTCACTACACATTGGAATGACACTTCAAAAGCATTCATTCACATTTTGGAAATTTTCAGGCTACTATATCCAATTGTTTTAATATTCTGCCACAAACAAAACCATTGTAATGTAAATGAGAAAAATGTAATTGATGTCCATGTCTTCTATGAAAAACATGTATCAGTTTGCTTCTGCATAATGCCATTATCTTTTTCTGATGCTCATAAACCAAGTAATGAGTGTTTTAAACTTTAAAAAGTGTTTAGGGCCATTATGAAGATCTAGTTTGCTAGTCAATTTGTTACAGAAAAAAAAAGTGTGCATGCTCTTTCCATAAAGGAAAGTTATTGTTTCAGACAATGAGGTCTATAAAAAGCTGTCTTAATGCAATATTCTGGTGTTTTACCTTCACATTTCTGTTTTTGTTGGGCCATAAAAAGTTAAGGACACTAAAGAAATACCACAAAATTTTGACAATTGCTATAAAAACACAATCGTAGACTCTAGATTTCAGACAGTAATACTATCTGTGTGAAAGTCAATTCTATTGTGTATCCTGTCAATATTTTAATTATTCAAGAACTGTCTTTTGAAATAGACTTTTGAAAGTAAGGGTTTCCCTGCTTGGTTTCTGAACACTTAATTCTCAATTTTCTTGAAGTAATTTGTTAGTGTTTGATTCAATTAAATTTTTCCCAATCTTGTCCAAGAATTGTCCACCTCCCTTCCCACATTGTAAATTAATAAATTATGTAATAGATGTTGATAGTGTGATTGAATTATATATGTACCTGTGTATTTGTATTTTAATAAAAATGAGCCTACATAAGTATATATTTATTTACAACTGCACAGAATGTTCCTTAGTAGCAACTCACCCCGCTTGAGGACTAACTCATTTGTCTAGAATTATTCTGGGGGCAGAGCTTAGAATAAGACTAGCATTCCAAATTTTTTTCTGTCTTCTAAAATTTATTAGTGGCAATTTAACATGTTCTTGATGACAGAAGTCAGCACTTTGACTACCAGTTATTAGAACAACCTCTGGGAGTGTTTCTTTCTTGCATCTGCATGTTTACTTTTCCTAACTCTTCTTTTTTCTCTCTTTGCCATCAGGGTATCCGCCCTGAGTTTTTACTGTGCATCTGAATTTTCTAGTTCATGTCTATAGTGCAGACTGGGAATTCCAGTGGTATAGTTGTTAAATACATAACAACTTCTATGTCCTTGAATTCAGTTTCGCCTTCTTAATAGTATTTACTCTATAAAAATTTACCAAATAAATGTCCCCTGGATGTGTGTGGTCAGTAGTCACACTGGGGCAACTGTGCTACACTAATACATAGGCTTATATTCTGGAAATAGCAAGATGCTCTTTCCAGAATACACAGAGAATGATTGTCACACATCTTTCATAATTGGTATTATATAATCCGAAGTAGGAGATAATTGGAGAATATAGAAATAGAGAACATTTTTCAAATCTGCCATTTTCTTACCCCTAACACCTAACTACCCACACCTGTCAGCAGTTCTCATGCTGGCCTGGTTGCCCCTGAGATACAAGTATGGACTTGCACAGATAGCTCCACACTGCAGGAACTGCAGAGCAGGGCCACACTTCTAAACCTGCAGCTTGCCAGCACAGCTGAGCCCAGATTCTGCAAAAACAACTCTACCAACTTTATTCTGAATAAAAAGTGTATTTGTATCTGAATCAAAAGACCAAGTAATTGGTCTTAAATGTGACCATCTGAGGATGGCTTGGTCCTTAATATGTTACTAAATTCTGACTGATAGATAGATGTTTATGAATAGATATCATCTAAAAGAAAGACATGTGGACAGGTACTGCTTGAGTTAAATGTTGAGAATAACTGTTACACATCTTTCATAATTGGCATTATATAATCTAAAATTGGGACATCTTTGCTCAGCCAAGCAATGGGGTACAGAGACAAGTGGAAGTTAGTGTTGGCCCTTCAGGGGCTCACAGACCAGATTCTCTCCTAGAGTCAGTCTTAGCAGCTTAGCAAGGACTTGTGGTATGAAGGGATAAATGATCCATGACACTGCTCTTGACCTTCGCTGTCAGATGCAATGTGGCTCTTGGTATTCAACACATTTTTTTTCTCTTGCTGATTCTAAGATTTTCCTTTTATTACCAGTTCTGAGCAACTGAATTATAATGTACTTTGGTACAGTTTCTTCATGTTTCTTGTTTTTTGGGTTCCTTGAGCTACTTGAATCTGTAAATTTTGGTTTTCTTAAAATGTGGAAGAATTTCAACCATTATTTCCTTAAATATATTCTTTTCTTCTCTTCCTTCCCTTGTGGGAGGGTTCACTGCATTTCTCAAGATTACACGATTCTCAAGATGCACTCTGCATTCTTCTTTTGGATAATCTCCCTTATTGTCTTCAAGTTCACACATTTTTTTTGTCTTTTTTTATTGGTTGTTCAAAACATTACAATGCTCTTGACATATCATATTTCATACATTAGATTCAAGTGGGTTATGAACTCCCATTTTTACCCCAAATACACATTACAGAATCACATTGGTTACATACCCACATTTTTACATAATGCCATATTAGTAACTGTTGTATTCCATTTAAATGCAACAAAATGCCGTAGTTTAAGACATGTTATTTTTAACTCTAGAAGTTTGATTTGGGTCTTTTACATATTCCTGCCAGATCCTCTTAACGTTTTGAACATAAAGAATCTGAGTTTAAAAGTCAAAGTCTTATATTCAAAATCTTCAAGTGCCCAAAGATATTTCATATTTTTTTAATTATCATAATAAGGAACTATATCTTTTTCAGGGAACAAGATAGTTGCTTAAATACAGAGCTTAGATATCACATTAGATTTGTCACCATCTGGATATCCAGGTCTTTGTACCTCAGATTAGTCTCAGCTCACAGTCCCCTTCCTTTCCATGCCTGTTGATATAGTGCCATGAGGTAGGAGTGCTGGTGGGGTCTCTTGGCCACAAATGAGACAATCCTTGGGCCATGCCATCTCATTCCCATCTCTG